AAAAACCTTAAAACCTTATAATAGGTTTTTCTTATCTTATTAGATATGCATTGCAAAATAAAAATAATCCTTCTAGAAGTATATTTACTGTGTATTTGAAACAATTATGATCTCTAATATTAATATTTATTCACGTTTCGTCACCAGCACAAATAAGTTTGTAGCAATGCATAAGTTGAAATATTTTTTACATAACGGAATAGCAAAGATAGTTATAAAGTCACTCTTCACGTATTTAACTACCCTCACAAAATATATTTAGAAAAGAAAACATAAAGATAAAGCACGAAAATACAGTTACGTAAACGTATTCAGTTACTCTGGTGTAAATTATATACATTTACTTATTATGTATCATTCCGGATAATAATGATGTTATAATAATAAGGTTTTGTTTGCATAATGGAATTTGAAATCGTATTTATTGTTATATGCTTATATTTGCAAGTATAAGTTTTTATTCTTGTCAATTTTGTTTATGTAACCAAGTAACGGGACGTACAGGTCGTGCGTCTGGTGGTAACACGCTGGTCCATAACAGTGGCAGTTCTTCTTAGAGCAATTAAATTGCAAAAATTTGAGGGGCGCTATCACTATGCCCGTCATCCAGAGACAAAAACGGAATGCAGGAATGCTCACATTACTGCCTGGCGGCAGAAATAGCTGAGGTGGCAGTACTTCCCTGCACTAACTGTTTTACAAGGAGCTCTACTGCTACTAAATAACAATATAAATTGTGTTTGTACGTAATATACTACTAAATAACAATATAAATTTTTATATTGTTATTTAGTAGTAATAAAACTTTTTTCATTGTCTTATGTGTTTAAATTACGGTTATATCATAATTCTACTTATATCTGCAAGTTAGATTATACGATTACGTGCAATTATTGTTGGTAAACGAAGGTTTAAAATAATGATTTGTTCTCGTACTCCGTTATCGGTGCGCAGTTTATTTCTCACCCACCAGGGATTTAGTTCAATTGCTACTACCTAACTTTCTAAAGTTCGTTCAATGTAATTACCAGTAGCCCTTTTGCTTTAAGAAACTATGTCGTGCTGCTCGCTTTTGAGCGCGAAACAATTTAGGTCTTCTGTGCTATACTTGAATAATACCTTTCTCAAAACTGCAAATATCTACATTTAGCCATATTTTTATAAAGTAAAAGTGTAGATAAAAATTAAGATTTTCAATAAACAATCCTAAGAATGGCGACACACGGCGACCTTTTGGCAGCGATGCAAAGACGCGTTCGTGAAACGCGCGATTGCGTCGCTACACTTGCGATTTATAGCCGATTGCATCGATGCAAACACCTATAAATCCCAAGTGTGGCGATGGAATGGCGCGTTTGTATCGATGCAGTCGCGCGCTTGCATCGCGTTTGCATCGCTGCTAAAAATCACGCGCGTGAGTAGACGATTAGCGACTGCATTGCTACTGCATCGCGTTTGCATCGCTGTTAAAAGTCACCGTCTCTAACCGCTCTAAAAGTTTCTTGTTTTTTTTTCTTCTTGTCGTATCGATGGCATACGTTATAATGCTTGCCATCGTGATGAAAGGATTTGCCAATCAGCGTAAGGTACAAATTTCTTCTTTCCACAAATCTCGCATAGTGTTTCGGGTCTTGAGAGGAGAATTATGGTGAATATCAATAATGTCAACGTAATCATTTACCGTCTTACACAACCTTGCAAATGGCGAATTTGAGCCAGATGTTGTTATCCGAATTGGAACACTAAATGGAGTAATTTTGTTACGAGGATAGGTACCTTACGAGAACACGCAATTTGAATTTTTGAAGCAACTGAGGACAATCCACCTCATGAACAAATGTTTTTGACACAAATGGCATGTCCAAGAGAGTTCTTCGGTTATCCAAAGACATAATATTGAAATGTGATAACGCTGCTGGTGTGATGAGAGTTTTTTCTTGGAGATACCACACAGTTACATTAAGTGCCCAATAAATCGTTTTGGTATACGTTCTAAACGTAAGGAGTCTGTCGCATAGTGTGTCCTTTGCATTGCAACATTGCAGTAGGTACTCCAAAATACTAGTTACGGAACGAATCAGTAGACCTCACTAATTTCTCTATATCGTGCTTGTTGCTGATCCTTGTTTTGGGTTTAAACGACTTTTAGCTCTAGCGCCATCTGAGAGAAAGATATGAAATCTTGAATCGATATTTTAAATTGATATATTTATAACAATTTGGTATAATGAACGATATTATTAGTACACGATTGAAGCACACAAGCACTTTCACATTGAATTGCTATCAAACGAAAGACGCACCATTAATCAATTAAATAGTACAACATTAGTATCAACGCGATATTAACATAACAAGCGTGCATCTATTATTTAGAAAAAAAAATACATATTTGAACTGGAAATTAGTATAAGCTTGTAATACTCATTTATATTTTCATTTCATTTTTTATATATCATTTACATTTATATTATTGAACTGCCTCCGTGGCTGAACGGTTACCATGCCGGGCTGCCACGCGGAGTTTCCAGGTTCGATTCCCGAGCCGGGAGAAATATTTGTATGGCCTACATTTATTTCTCTCGTGAGTTTGGGTGTAATTTGTGGTTGTCTATGTGTGTGTCCATGACACGCGCGACACAGGTTTTCCTTAGTGCGTGCGTTTTATTGTTAATACTAATTATAAATGTAGGTATATTTACTATATAAGGTCTTCGTTAATTAGCTGATATACTATTACATTGAACAGCATATCAAAAATAATTAATATTTATTCGTACCAAATGTATACAATAACTGCTTTTTCGTCATTTCAAAGTATTTTATTATGATACCAAGTGCCGAGGCGAACAAGTCGTACACCGGGGGGGCCTACCATAACCTTTCTAAAAACAATCTTATTTCGATGTCAGCTTAAAGTAAGCTTATTATAATATTACTCATATTCGTACCATGACAAGCCTGTCAACCAAATAATGTATTATTGCTAAAGTGATTAACAGATCGAATGATTTCCCAATATTGTGTATTCCTCACTAAAAATAGGAAAAAAATGACGCTATATGAACTATATAATGCCATATTTTTCTTTTTTGATGTTCCATATCGTCTTATCGTAGTATAATGTAGTACTTAATGTTATTTACATTCAGCGAATTTTAACTGTTGAAAAAAGAAAAGTACGTAATATTAAAATCTACTAAAATTACGTTTAGGATATGAAATTATTCTTCCGGATTTAAATCGTGCATATTTGTTTTTTCAAACAAACCAACGTTTCGCGCCCTTTACATTTTTGTTGACTTTTTTCAATAGTTCAATTTTTCAGTTGGTCAACCGTGACCATAAGACCTGTAAAGGGCCCAAAACATTGGTTTATTTGAAAACAAATATACGCGATTTAAAGAAGGAAAAATTGTTTCATTTCCTATGTGGAGCAATCGCGAAGACCTAAGAACCAATAAAATTACGTTGTTTTCAATTATTTTTCCGCATTTTCATGAAGAAAAATAAATAAAATAAGCCGAGTCTTGATAGTCACGTTGTGAATTCGGAATTATAGTCTAGTGTCAACTGTTACCGTCGCCAAGAACCATATAGATGTCACTGTCATAATTTTACGAAATAAACACGCGTACTTTTATTTAACGGGAAATTATTTTTCTATGTACTATTAATTAAAAAAAATAAACGAAATATTAAAGATATTTATGTAAATAAACTTAATAATAAACTTTTAATAATTACAAATCAATATTTATACAATAACTACGAAAATAATATTGTTTCTACTGCGTCCCAGTAACTATTTTGAGCTAAATTTGACATAAGAACAATATTACTTTAATGTTAAAGTCGCGTCATATTACGAACTGAGTAAATGAATAGTCACAAAGTTGCCAATAAAACATCACAGTTTTAACATTATAATAAACTTACTTTAAGCGCGTTATGATACGAAAAGTCAATGTAAGGTTAAAATAATATTGTTTTAAGAGGTTGTGGTAGGCCCCCTGGTGGTAAGCGATACCACTGTCTAAAACAATTGTAATGCCACTCAGAGCTTTAAATCACAAAGATCTGAGGCGAACTGCCACTGCGTCTGTCACCCTGGGACAGAAGTTAACAAGTCACCTGTGCCTGTGATTACAGGCACAGGGGACCGTAAAACCGGAACGCTGTAATGCTGATATTATTGCTTGTCGGTACAAATAGGTAAGATGGCAGTACTTCCCTGGTTGAACTCTTTCACAAGGAGCTGTACTACTAAAAGGATTCACTTTATAAAAGTTGTTGCGTTTCGTTGACTAACATGGATCTTAAAAAGTTGTCGGCTAATAAATTAGGACCTTCTATACTTGTACACCAATTTGGAAACAAAGTATGAAAATAATATACATATTTAATCAACGTTTGCGCCATATATTCACATAGTTAGTTTCTATTTGTAACAAATACTATATCTAATTACTCTAATTGATCGTACCTATTCGTGTGCAAGTGCCTCATTGACCCTACATGATTTTATGCGAAATAACTGCTTCTTGTTCCAATCTAGGCCGCCTTCGCATCCTTGAATGTTGTTGAACTTTACGCAACACTTACTGTCTAATTGAAACAGAGCATCTTGTTTTCATCTGTTACGTAACAATTGAATGTATTCAACAACAATAGAAAAACGTTTCGTTCAATAATAGGAAACATTATTGAATTAAAGTGTAGTACGTAACGTAGTTTACAGTACGTAATTTTGGAAGATTGCAGTGTTCATATTTGAAGTCTTAAAAGGAAATTTCCAAAGGAAGGCAAGCATGTGCCGGAGTACTCGAATAAGTACTTGTAGGTAGAGCTCGTAATCTTTACGCAGAGCATTTCCGTGCAAACAAGGAAGCACTCTCCCAGTAAACTGGATATGTAGCGATACAGGACAAAGACCTATCGAGCGGTCACTTCCCTCGGCATATCTGGAGCTGGAGGAAAGTTGTCTAAGGCCGCTCATATAAATGCGTGAACTTGATACTGTCCACCACTTTTCTATGCGCTAGTGTATAGAACACTTTTCCTTTCGCAACTCGTATTTTCTTTCGAGAAAATAATGTAATTGAACCCGTGCGGTCAGTTGTTCGTTTACACCATGGTGATACGGGAGATATTGGTAAGCGTCCCTAAATTCAATACTTCTTAAATATAAGGACACCGAATTTAATAACGTTAGGTTAGATTATTTACCAAAATTTTACCCAACTGACCGCTGTTGAAATAGTGACATTAAAATCATTACTCGTTATCGTTTGAAATACGAACATGTGCGTCCGTAACATGCAATAATGAGTGGCTGATTGATGGACTTTCACGCCTACCATGGATTCACTTGATGGATAATTGAGTTTGGCTCATTAATTTCAGATTTTCTTTACTTTCGCTGCGATAGTATGCAGTAGCGAAGTTGACGACAGCGAGCAGAAGAAGCGAGGAGCAGGAAAGACAACTAACTTAAACGCTATTCCCACTGGAGCCCAGAAGCAAGAATACACGTATAGCATATATCCTCAGAGCGTAAACCCCCAAAGTGGTCCACCAAGTCCATCTTACCAGAATCAAGTCCCTAATTCCTTTTACCCAACTCCTGGGTCCAATCAGTATTATTCAAATCCAAATTCAGCACCAGATGCAAATCCTACATATCCAGCACAACCACAGATAAATCTTATTCCTCCACAAAGTTCATCACAGTTCGTACCGCTAAACTTTATACCGAATCCAGGTTACCAGACGAAATACCAAATAATACCAACAAAGTCTCAGAATGGTAACATACAAATTGCTCTTATACCGCATCAGCAAGCATACCAAGCGCCTCCTTACCTACAGTATCCTCAACTGTTCTCTCCACAACCAACTCAGCAGATCAGTCCTCAACAAAGTCCTTTGATAAGTTCGATTCCTTCTCAGGGACAATACAACCCGGCACCAAACTACCAACCTTTATCATTGGGTAATCCGTATTTAGGCCAACCGTCGACCATGTTACTGCTAGCTCAGCCAAATCCATCTCTGTACAACAACTTCTTATACCAAAATCCTTTACAAAGTTTATATAATTATTATCCTACAAACACACAGACAAAATATGCTTCCTATGGTCAATCACAACCTTTGATTGAATACGAAAAAGGACCTGCATCACAGACAGCTCCAAAAGAAGACAATGAAATTGTTTCAGGTTCTCGTAATACAGAATATATTACTCCATCTGAAAATAACAACTACAAGAATGCATATACATCAACTCGCTCTGCTTCATATTCTAAGCTTTAATTATTTGTATGATCTGTTTAAATGAGTTTTCCATATTCATAAATGTTTATTTTGACGTGTGTATTTTGTTGCCATTTATGTTAACCATTATTTATTAGTGTTTTTTAGATAATTGTTACGTTTTAATTTTGTTATTTGTATAGCAATAAATGTAACTCTTTGGTTGTAGAACCTGTAATATTGTTTTATTTTCGATTGGTTTTCGGTCATTAATCTTTTCGAAACTTAAATTATAGCTATTTGTTTTTAAATGCTACTGTAATACATCACTACAGTTCTAATGGTTTTCTAACGAACTTCGTGAAGGAAGTGTTACTTTCTCTGCGTCTTGGTTGTATTCAAAGTCACACCGGAACCAGTATTTATAGGCAATCTAACAATACCTAATAAATCGAAAAATCGAACGATCGATCATTATCGATCTGTATTTCGATACGTTCATATTGGAGCCGTAATAGATATTTGACCATTGAGACAGTGTATACAATGATTCTTTATTGAGCCATTCATACAGATCAAGTTCGCATGCCACTTGTTGATCGGGCGTTAGTATCCAGTTTAAATAATAATACTGATGGAAGATAATCTCTTCCATTACCATTTACATCCTTTTTATGATACCAAGAGCGATAAGCGACACCTTCCATAACAGTTGCAGTGCCACTTAGAGCTTTAAATCACAAAGATCTGAGATGCACCATGATCGTCACCTTGAGACAACTTGAAAAGTCCCATGTGCCTGTAATTTCACCAACACTCTACCCTTCAAAACCGAAACGCAGTAAATAATAAATAAATAAATAAATAGATACACATACGTTGCCCTGATCTAAAAGTAAGTCACTAAGTACCTGTGTTATGGAAATCGGAAACAACGCCGATACTACAAACACCCAGGCTCATGATAAAATAGAAAATTTGGTTTCTACACTGACACGGCCGGGGATCGAACCCGGGACCTCAGAGATGGCGACACCGTGAAAACCGGTGGTCAAGCCACTCGACCACGGAGGTCGTCGTAGTAATGCTCACATTACTGCTTGGCGGCTGAAATAGGTAAGGTGGCAGTACTTTCCTGTACACACTCCTTCACAAGGTACCCTGCTGTTACTTTTTTTTTTTTTTTTTATTGCGACTCGACAAAATGACTGCACCGCTCCTGATGGAAAGTGCGAATACAGTCCAGAGATGAGAGTAACGGATGGAAAACACAAATATCTTCACTCCGTCACTATCATTTTGCCGGTCTGGCCAAATGCAAAGACATACTAAAAGACAAACACACTTAGGTAGCTTTAGTGTAAAAAAGAATCTACTCGTCATGACAAATAAAACAATATCGATCGAATGTATATCGACAGAAGTAATTTTACTCGCGAATTATAAATTTTGTTTCTTGTGTAAAGTTGTTTGTTGGCATACGTACGAGCACCACCTGAAATATTTTTGACAGAGCGCAATAGACAATGTTGCTTAATCACAGACAATAACGCTATAATTATAAAGGTTAGGGAGCTGTACATAAATGGTGTATGTGTTCATAATTCACATTACTAGTTACATCTACTTGTTACAACTAGAAATGCCATTTGAGTAATTAAAAAAACAAAAACAAAAAGGTTTCATACTTCGACGGATTCGGGACAGCACCAACGGCTTCCTGGTTGTCGTTAGGGATAAGCCTGATTGTCCTTTTTATAAGCATTGGATTGGAAAGCATTTATAAATAGCTCTCGAAAATATTTGAATCAGGTTAATATAATTGAATAATTTAAAGATACTAAGTTTATTTTAAGAGCTTACTAATGAATTGTACAGATTAAACAGTTCGATTTGAAGTTTATCATAATTATTATAACAAGGCGTTGTTAATAAATAACTCTTCACGTTGGTTACTGAAAATACATTAATTCATAATTCATATACAATAAGCTGACATCATAACTTCGTCATTTTAATGACATTGCACTTTTAATTTTGAATTAGAATGTATGGACAAGCGTGGCGCTTACCACCAGACGCGACTTCCGACGACCGTCACTTAATATCATTGCAAATTCAATATTAGAAGTTTCTGTTGTTACGTAATTGTGTATACTTGTAATTTAAGGCATCTATGGCGCGGAGTCGAAGCGTCGCGACGCATCATGTTTTTCTCCTAAAGTATATTCATCTCTATTTTCCCATAAGTAAGGTACAAATTTGTGTTATGCAAATATGGAATCGACTCTGCGCCAGTGTGAGTTGAGCCTAATTGGCCTTTTATCTTATTTTTTGAATTTTATGTCCTGCTAGGATAATATAATAAATAAAAATATAATTATAATTAATAATATTCAGTTCAATTTCATTCTCTGCCTGTTATATTCTAATGTATGTAGTTATATGCTTTTTACGCTTTTTGCTGCATAAACATTTTTGGTATAAACATTTTTAACTGCAATGTCTGTAGTATTTATATATAATAGTGTACAACTGCGGTGAGAGTGATTGCTGAGGCTGTTATATTTTCTTCAACACAGCCACTATTTAAGTTTTTTTTATGTACCGTTGTAGTGTAAGAATAAAGTATTTTTATTTTTTATTAGTTAATTTCCTGACATTTTTTTCGCGGGAAAAAGTTGTCTTTACAGGGGCCATTTTGAAATTACTTGTAATTTAATGTAATTTACGTTATGGTTACGGCCAGCTACTAAAACGCAAGTAAATGTTACTGATATGCGATCTCTATATTACTATGTTAATAATATAATATTTAATAGTTTTAAGCAATTTAAAAGTTTCACTATGAAGAATTTGTAAGAAAAATTTAGCAAATTTAATTTTTCAAGTGAAACATGACCAAGTATGGTCAGAATTAATTCTAATTGCGGATAAAACATGACGAGTTACTTTCGTCTTCAGGCTCGATTTAACGTTAAGATAGCCCAACAGGTTTTTTAAATGGTTACATCAATCGCAATTTGTCATATTACGTAGAGTTGCTTACGAATTTGCTCTCATTAAAACTACGCAGCTGTTACGTATCCAATAAAAGTATTAATAACCATATCTCTTTCTTTTTAAAGTAAAATAGACGTATATTTTTTTCATTATTTTATCTTGGTGTTATTATAACGATATCTACGTTACAAGAGCTATAAGTTTGTTAGGTATGTATAGCAAGCAAGACAATACGTTTACTTTCTAACAACTGCTTTGTGTAAATCGTTATTATCGGTTCTTTTGTATTTACAAGCTGTTGTTCAATACGTTCTCCGATTGAGGTCTTTTTAATAGGGAAATAATCAATACAACAGAAATACTTTTTATAGCTCCAAAAACTAATATTTAAAAAAAGACAGTTACGACAGGCGGCCTTGTTGCTGCTAGATGTTCCGACATCTCCACCGTACATTAGTGAACCAACTGCAATGATTCTTTTTTGTTGGAAAGGGAGTACCTCAGTATTGGTCTTATTCAAATTAGAAAAAAATATTCCGCCTCTAAGGGTAGCAAATTAGGGGATAAATCCGGTTTATTAGATATCACCCACTTTCCGTTAACTGATTAAAAAAAAAATTGAGGTCGTTTTTTTACCAAAAAGTTTTAATTATAACAAGAAACCTTTTCACTAGTTTTCACTTGTCATTTCCATCATTAAATTCATGTTCTATTTTCAAAAATTTGTAAATATTTTTTTGATTATACAAGCAAGTTCACCGATTTGTATTAATAAAAAAAATATTGAACGAATACTTTGCATATGAACCTGCATCAGTATCATCTAGTATATAACCAGAAACAGAGACGAACTAAGGGCCATCCATCTCTGGGAACTCATCAGGCAAATGGACCTTATATCACTTTTAAATAGCAATCTCGTTTGCGCTGAAATCACAAATTAGAAAACTGAAATAGCCAATCGGAGCACAGTTGTCACAATAATTATTATAAGGATATGGCAGATTAATTATCAAACAAATTAAATGACATATTTTCGTCTCTACTTCTGGTTATATCTTGACGATCAGTATTAACAAAAAAAAAGAAACAAAATTATTTTGTTTAAATCAGAATTAATGATAGAAATGCCTAAATAACATTGTATGAGCCAGAAGTATAAAATTGAGAACCAATTTGGCGGTCTCATTACTATGCACGAAATTAATGTATGAATTATTATTCAAAGTTTTAAACGTTTAGTCATCATTACGAGTATTTTACAAATAAATTTCTATGATATCAATTTGTATAGGAGACAATGGTTAATTACGATAGAATTGTAATCGACTAATTTATTGCTCTCTGTCAAACAGCATGGGCAACAATAGGATACGGGCCGTCATTCGAGACGATTTACGCCCCTTTTACTATCTCAAATATTTTAATAGGCGTATCTGTATAGAATTGCACCTACAACATAGATATCAAGTAAGTTTGGTGATATTTATATTTGAAAATAAATGCAAACTTTTTACTTCGTACGTTTCTAACTAAAATTAACAAGTTATAGCTGGCTAGTAAATGTGATAACATTTAAAAAATATACATACAATTTTATTATTCTTTTTTACCTCAGTGCGGGTGATGTATTGACCAGTATTTTTTTCGAAGAAAACTACGAAATCATATATCACAACAAGGACATAGAAAAATTCGTAGGGCACGCTAGTTCGTTCTGTAACTTAATTGGCATAGTGTCTGATACGGTTTGCTGGAAGATATTTTTAACGCACACACTCATGGTTCGAATCCAGCCCGATCGAAGGAATTTTTTCTTAATGTTCGATCTTTGTATAATAATTTATAACTATGAAATCTCTAAAGTGATGTTTATTTTGAAATGGCATGAGAATCATTGTAAGGAAATTTTATGATCTAAAGAGAATGTATAGAATCTCTCTAACCAGATTGAAAAGTGATACAAGTGAAAACATGTAAATCGAATTCGCCTGTTTCGCATCATTCAAAACAACATGGCAGATTTACAAAGGCGTTATATAATGTAGTATGCTACTGTATTTAAGGTATTACCTAATACGTTCCGGTAGGTAAGTCATCGAAGTGCCTGGTGTTTTTTGGGTGACTATTGCTATTAAAACTGG